CCACTCGAAGGGAAACTTCGATGCCAACGTCTCCTCTCGCTGCCCGTCCTCCTCTTTGACCACGAGGTTATATAAAGAGTCGATGGCCACGTGCGTTACGAGCTTCACAATGAAGTACCTGTCCTTAAAAGAACAGACATATTTCATATAGGCTCGAAACAACTTCCTCGGCTGCTTCAGGGACACCCAGTTGTGCCAACCATGAAAGGTTTGCTGTTGTAGATGAAAAGTACGAAAGAATAAGAGGAGTGTGGCTCTAATACAAAGGTGTCGGAACACAAGTTCAAATGCTAGTATGAACGCGATCGCATTGGGGTGGAGCCGCGAGGGCGACAGATGCAGCCAATGGAACACTCCTTTTTGACAGTCACTAAAGGGCAGACGGAACCCTGCTTCCTGAAACACAGACTCATACATAAGGAACCTCACCCCCTTAAAATACGAACAAATATGGTGCTTCTCTTTGGGCTTATAGACCATCCAATTTTGGGGAGAGCCCACAACGCGGTCCTTGACAGTGACGAACGCGTCAGTGTCGTCGACGACGAAATGCCTAGGGGCTCCTTCCCGGCCCAGTCTTCGGGCGTGCAAGCTTGCTCAGCTCTAGCTTGCTTGATTGGGGTGTCGGACTCAGATCCATCATCGATCAGGATAACACCCTCAATCCTCGTGGCCATTTTACCTAAAAATCAGAGGAAAACAGTGAATTTGACATCTAAGATCAAATCCACCCTTTCACCGTAAATCAAGTGAAAGGGAGAAAAGAGGGGCAAGGAGCCGCTTGACGAACTCTCCCCAAAGCAAATCAGTGGGCATTCATCCTCAACAAAAGGCTCGTCTGCAAGGAGAATCTCCCCGACACGAGACAACAAGCCTCCATTCTCGACAGAAAAGCTCATCTACAAGGAACATCTCCTCGATGCAAGACGACGAGCCTCTCTTCTCGACGAAAAGGCTCTTTGATGTGTGATCTTCCTCTAGTGGAATGCAGGGAGCCTCCTCGAACCTCCCTGACGCGAGGCTTCCCCGCGATGTTCACACAGTCAAGGGAAGCAAGGCTCCCCGGGACCTCCATCGTAGGTCCCCGAGATCTTCATCGGAAACTTCATGGAGTTTCCTAGAATCCTCATGAACTTTCCAGCGACTTCATCAAAAACTTGATAGGAGCGCCGCAAACTTCATGAATAACGCCAAAATATTCATGCGTTCCCCGGGAACTTCATGAGCTCCCCGAAGGAACCGCCGGAAAATGCATAAAATTGTCGGAAAGTTCATAAAAACTGAAGATAAGACCAAAGACTTACTTGATGAATGCAACTTCTAGATGACAGAGAAATATTGACGGCGGCGACGACAACATGCGTTCTTCAGAAAGCGGAGAGAACTTTGAGAGACTTATGAAAACTCTTGAGCCAAATGAAGGGGAGCGTGCAAATGAAACAATATTCCCCCTATTTATAACTCTAGCACGGGAAACGAAACATCACTAGGCACTCAAGTTCCCCTACTCGTAGCCGCCCTAGGCATTGATTGCTCTTGACACGTGACCCTATAAGACACCGCACGCGTCCTTTCAATTCCCTCTCCTGATCGGGGCAAGAGCTGCCAATTTCCCTTCCATTTTCGTCACATCGTCGGCCATATCACCCAATGGGGACATATCCTCGGGGGAACAGGAAAAGAGCCAAGACTACGTACTGCGAACAGGCCTTCCCGCGAGCTCTTGTCCGGTCGAGCAAGTTACTTATCTTGTCCACGCGCTTTGTCCCCGAGTCCTGTGTTTCGAACACACACGATACTCCTCCGGACAGGTCCTCGACGTTTGAACTGACTCCTAAGTCATTACTTCTCTGCTTCGGAGCAACGACTTGGGGGCTTCTGTTCTGAACTGGGCCAGAGGCTGGTCAACCGTCGGGCACGGCCTAACCCAGCTCCCCATCGAGGAGGACCCAATGAAGACCTAATCCTCCAACGCCCACATGGAGCTCTTACACGTCTCCCCTACGGTCTCCACGTGCCTCCCACGCGAGGACACGTCATCATGCAACTACCCACCCGAAGATCACAGGGCAGTTGACCCAGGACGAAGACCACGTGCTGGTCTTTCCTATGCCACGTAAGCCTTGACAGTTATTCGTATTAGGCCTTGCTATCCAACCCAGTGTAAAGTAACCGTTGGCACAACGCTGGGGGCACATTATAAATACCCTCTTTCATAAGGGGGTCAGATATTCAATTCTCTACACACTTTTTATGTACTTGCTCTTTCTACTCCGTCTCTTATTTTAGCATCGGAGTACCTTGCAGGTACACCTCGTCATCTTCTACACCACTGACGAATTAAGGAGTTCACGACGTGTTACTGACGGCTGATCCCTTTTTAATCCGATAAAATCAAAATTTAATATTGCCAAATATATGTATATCTTTAGCAATGTGATGTTTAACAAAGAATTTGGTCACAGATACTTATTGTTGCGGTGGATCAATAGAAGCATTGCCTACATCATTAAGGGAAGCCACGCAATTTTTCATTCTCAAAGTTTTAAGTGAATTCTATGGTGTTTTAGGACATATATTGTTTAGATTTATTTTAATGTAAGTGTATACCCTAATTTTGTAATGTATTAACATATTATATTTGTCGCTAATACATTATACCCTAATTTTACATTCCCAAATGTATTAATATACCCTAATTTTTTAAGTGAATATTTTTTTCATAAATATTTAAATATTATAATATGTTCTTTTTATTGTTGGTGTTTGCTTGTCATCAACGCCAACAAGAATTTGTATAAAAGCAATTTTTCTTAACGACATTTATTACTATTACGTATATTTATAATATTCATGGTTGAAAATTTATAAACAAACATGACAATATTTATGTTGACGTGAGAATAAGAATTCAATACAAAATAATTTAAACATATATCACGCTGCCAAACTTTTTGTGTGTAAACAATGTAGCCATTACCAAATTTTATGTTGACAGAATGCCACCATTTGCAAAAATTCCAAATTATTATTAAAATCAAAACTCCTTTCAATTAAACTAATTTTAATAAAAATAAAACATTAACATATTCAAAAATTCAAATTACTAGAAATAATGAATTTTAGCTCTTAAAAAAAGCGTAAGAATGGTAAAAACATAATTGCCACGCGAACGTAAGGTTTTGGTAACACGTGGTTTTCCATCTTCATCCTTTTATCTCATTCTCACACAACCTTCTCCCCTTTTTATATTTATATCTTTTCCTAACTCTCTCTTCCACCTCTCTTTCTTTCTTCTTTCCCAATTCCCAATCACTCTCTTATCCCAAACGCCATCGATAAACGCCGTCTAGGGTTTCAGGCAAGCCTTCATTTCTCACTCTCACTTCTCCATTACCAATTAGCTTTTCCTATTTTCTGTATATAAATCCTCTCCTGGGTTTTGATTTTCCACTATTTGAATTTCAACCATAGTTGAAATATTACCGAGTTTTTCTCTTCATTTTTGGTTAATTAAGCATCCGTAGATCTTTGAATCGGAATATGGCTCCGCCGGTGGATTGTATTTTGTTTTTATTTCTTAATTAATTATTTTATTTTACCTTTTTATTGCCGCATTGGTTTTTGCGAAGTTGAATATAGTCAAATAAGAATTTCTGGGCGTTTAGAACTTTGAAATGGACATAGTCGTTTGCAGAAGATATAACATTCATGTGTTTGTAGTTGTACTTGTCACATTGGTTCTATCATTGCAATTGTTATTGACATGGTTTTGGAAAATGCTATGTACACTTTGTAGCTTCAACAAAATCACCGATTTTGCTTTTGCTGAACTCATAATCCAATCCTTGAATCATACTCTTTGATGTGACGAGTATAGGTTTATGCATCAAAATCATCAAATCTAACTTTGGGGCAAATTTTATTATGTACTCCTGAATATAACTAAATAGTAGTTGTCTCATTTGTTAGTCTTCATAGTGATGTATTAGATGATATGCACGGTGATCTGTTACAAATAGACTGAAATTTGACCATGTTATGCTGCTGTTTGTTTACTTATAGTTGATGTGATTGCCCTGTGGGCGAATCCTACTTTTTAAGAAATGTTTGTTTGTTTTCTAAGATGGATATCAACTTCCTTATTGTTCTTTCTGTTTTGATTTGATGATTGAATGTTAAGAGTAATCATTGATGGCTCCGAGCCTAATGTTGTATATGGTCTGTTGTATACTATGTCCTTTTGTTAGTAGATACATATCCATCATCAGTAAGTGAAAATTATTGGTTTGTCTGAGATTTAAGTTGCTGTCCTATATATGTATATGTCTAGTTTGGATCCACATTGCTGATTGAAAATGTTTAGTCTGTTTTATATGAGGCCATTTCCTACACTTGTATCTCATTTTTAGCTTTTGCATTCTTAAGTCTTTGCTTTTGTCTAGTGATTTTTTATCATTCATAGCATGTTTGGGTCTTAGTTGGGCAAGGTTCTCTCATTTTCTAAAGCTATATAACTGTGATGTTATGTAAGCTATGGTTCTAGACTCAAGTGCATGTGTTTCGACCGTGGTTTATTAATTTTTCAAACACACACTCACTGCAAAAGTTTTCTTTTCTGTTTCCTCTATTTTTATATGATCATGCAATGCCTTTGTTTCTTGATGCATTGGTATAGACACTTGTTTATCCTAGGTTTTAACATCAAATCAATTTCAAAGTTTTTTCATTTACTTTGGCTTTCTGCTTCCCTATCTCATTTACCATAATTTTGTGCATCTTTGTGGGCAATTTTTTTTGTCATTTACCCTGGCTTTCTTCTTTATTTCTATCACATTATATTCTAAATTTAATGGAAATTTATTGAGCTTAAAGGGTGCTTATTGGAATAGAGACATTTTATTGTTGTGAAGGCATTACAAACATGCATACTTGGCCAAAAAAGTAACTTCCCTTAATTGTCTGTGGCAGGTTGAAATAAGTGGTTTGTTATTGTCAAAATGTCATCTCCAAGCAAGAGAAGGGAAATGGACGTAATGAAATTGTGAGTAAACTATTTTAATGTTGAATTTCTTTATAAGTCTGGAAATCTGTATTTTATCAAATTAGTTGAAATACAAATTTGGCACACTGATAAGGTTATATCTATGGAGGTATTGTTTGACCCATAAATTAAGTTCAAAATGTGGGTGAACTTTTTTAATTGGTTATTTGACTTCCAAGAAAGAATCTGTAGTTTTAATTTTTTTAATTTTTTTTAATTTATGGTTTTGAGTCGGTCTTAAAACTAAACTGCCATTTGACAGAAAATGGATTACCCGTTTGTAGTAAGACCATCAATATATAGGAAAATATGTGATGTTTAAAAGGCGAGATGCATTTTAATCCCTTGAAGTATAGCTCACCAGCTTGCTTTCTTAACGATATTTTGTTGTTACTTAACCCTGTCTAGTTTAGTTTCAAGTTAAAGTACATTCTCATTACAAAATGATTTCCTTCTCCCTGCTTTCTTAACCTTCCTCCCAAAAAATAAACCAGTCTTCTTAATTACATCTAATGCTTTTCCGTCTTAGTTGTCCCTTTCAGTCTTGTGATGGGAAACCATAATATCATAGTAGACTGGTGGGCGGTGTTGTAGAGACTTGGATCAGAGAGTGCGGCCAAAGTTTGAATTAGTTGCTAAATTTATTATTTCAATATTAGAGTATACAACTATAATTTAAAACAGTGATGGATTATGGAAGCATATGGATGTACTTAATTTAGTAATATAGAATAAAAATATGAAGTTACAAGCTTCAAAGGCATTAGTAAAATGGTGGTTGGGAAGTGCCGGCCTTCTATTAGGACTGAAAAACAACCTGACGATGGATCTGTCAGGAGGAACCCAAGAATTGAATGGAAAAGAAATTACATTTGCTTTAAGAAAGTTAGAATAGGAGAGAATCTCTCCAAGGGTTTTCCCCCTTCACAATAGGGTCACTAATTCACAATTTTTATAGTATTCAATGATTCCTCTCTCTAACTCCAAAATCTCCTATTTATACAAGATAATCTAACTAACTTCCCGAATTAGCTCCTCATTATCCTATATTGTTACCAACTCGTCTTATCACATATCCTAACAAACTTCACTATTATCCCATATCCTAACAAACTCCTCATTATCTTAAATCCTAACAGGATTGGACTTCACTTGAGGCATTGCTCAAACAACCCTAATTATATGAGAATTGGCATTGCTCAGACAAGCCCAATTATGATTTCATTATCAGTCTAGAGCTAGCAAGGGAATGAGTGTGATTGTTACTTTTATATCTGTTAGGTGAATCGAGACTATCACTTAATATAATGCTTACATATGATCTATTTCTGTTGATAGCATGATTCATTCCTAGCGAAAGTTCAGTCATATTTCTCTAATATTCCTTTCCTTTTTACAGGATGATGAGTGATTATACAGTGGAGACGATAAATGATGGACTCACAGAATTCAACGTGGAGTTTAATGGTCCAAAAGAAAGTACTGTCAATATTCTAGAGCTGACCTAGTCTTTTTTTTTTTTTTGGATGAAACTGCTCATACAGTTGAGAAAGAGAAGTGTTGGCAATACGTTGCTTAACACTCTACCTCCGACACTCCCGTTATTAGGTGAAATTTATGTGGGTGCCACCCACCACTTTGAAAATGTGTCCTTTAAATTGGTGGGACTTGTGTAAAGTTTACCTAAGCATAAAGGAAGGGTCGAAGGGGGAGTGTTAGAGAGTGTGTTGCTATCACTCTTCAAAGTAAAAATAATAAAGAAGAGTGATTTTTAGACGAAGATTTTCTTTAAAAAATCCATTTTACTCCTTCAAAGACAAAAAAGGAGGGGTAAACCTTAGTTAGAAGTTCCTATATCTCTATCACGAATTCATGTCTATACCTTAATTAGTTGTGTGTTGCTATCCCTGAAGATTTACATTTTTTATACTCCTCTTTAACTTATCTGCTTATTCATTGATCTGTTACACTTGTGATTGTTGCAGGCCTTTATGAAGGCGGAGTTTGGAAGATTCGTGTTGAACTTCCTGATGCATATCCTTACAAATCCCCTTCTATCGGCTTCGTGAACAAAATATACCACCCGAATGTTGATGAGTTGTGAGCACTTCATTTGCTTATCAATCTTTTTATTTAATGTAATTTTTGCACTGTTCTGGGCTGGCTCTGGATATAATACTTGAACCCTGTACCTCCGACTCCTTTTAACCCTTAGTTCAATTAGTTCAAGCCAGTTGAGCTATCCTTCCTACCCATGGCCCCATGATATATGAACTGCTTTCTCTTATTCATCTGGTATACACACCACTATTCTGTTGTTTTGGGCCTTTACTCTGGGATTTTGTACAAGTGGTGTATAGAATTTCTTTACAGACACCTGTGGATTATGACTGATTCTAAGTTTACGTTTTGTCCATTGCAGATCTGGCTCTGTATGCTTAGATGTAATTAACCAATCATGGAGTCCAATGTTTGGTAATTTTGTTAAAGGCTTTTCATTGTAAAAAATTTCAAGTATCTGAAGTTCAAAATTCTGTTGATCTGTCAAATTATTTTGTATATGTTGGTAAATAATTATGTGAAAAATTCAACAGGATTATATGGAATCTCCACCTTCTTAACGTATATAGATGACCAAGGTTTTCGTTGTTTCAGATCTTCTAAATGTCTTTGAAGTTTTTCTTCCACAACTCTTGCTTTATCCAAACGCTTCAGATCCTTTGAATGGCGACGCAGCATCTTTAATGATGAAGGATAGAAAGTTGTATGACCAAAAAGTTAAAGGTGAGTATGTTTTTATTTATGGTGATTTTTTCTAATAATTTAAGACCTAAATAATGTTTTTTTTAGAGGAATTATACATTTATGGAATTTTTTTGGGTCAATGATCCCACTGCATTGCTTGCCTTGCCTCAAATCTATTGCAGTAATCCATAAAATCAATCTCCTAAATTTGAAGAGTTCAAGTTGCAAACAGGATGGTTTAATATCTTGGGCAGAAAGTCATCTAGATTTTGGTCTATATTGATTTTTTTTAGCTTGTTAAAAATGTTAATGTGGTGTTTATGGGGACAGAGTATTGTGAGCGGTATGCTAAGAAGGAAAACATTTCCAACAATGGTACAGCTGATGATGAGGACAGTGATGAGGAAGACATCAGTGAAGCAGATACCCAATCAAGCGATGATGAAATTCCTGGTCATGCTGACCTTTAAATAGTGCTCTTTAAGTTTAAGGGTCCATGTATTATTACACATATTCACTTGTTTAGTTTTAATTATAAGATGTAGGGTTATTTCTCTGTACTATTTTTCTGCCTTATAATAACAGTTATTATTCCTGTATAATAATTTCTTATAAAGCTATACTATAATATGTCATTAGGGGTTTAAACTTTAAATTGTAATTTGTATATTAATATCTGACATATTTTTCTTTCCAAATTTAAGGAAACCAGAAATGTAACAGTTAAAGATACATTCTCTGAAGATTTTAGTTGTTTTGTCTCATGATTAGCCACTATATATTTTAGAATTGCTGAGATGTGTTTCTTCCTTGCTATTGGTGTATGATTCATGAGCACATACGCAATACACATATTTTTCATTCATTCATTCATAACTTTGTAATAAATCTTTGGATACTGTGTCATCAGAACCAGATGAAGTTGACTTTTCACTGTCTTCAGGAGTAAGATTTTTAGGGAAGCAAGGTTACGGAAGGCAAAGCTAATTTTCTGAACCTTTCGAGGAGTGCTTCATGTCCAAGAAGTAGATGCATCCAAATTTACCACTTGTCAAAAATATTGTGGATTTATATTAAGGTAAATGCTCACAAGGTGAAACTGACTCACCTATGGATTGAGTAAAAATTTAGAGATTGAGCAATTTTCAAGTCTTGTGTTTCTGTGTTTAGAGAGAAGTTGGTATAGTTTAGTATTAACATGGTGTTGGAAATACATGTGAATTTTATCCCCGATTTCAAAATACATATGTGAATTTTATCCTAGAGCCTCGTGGGAAGGGAGCAAACATCGAATGCAATCTCAATATCGATGATAGTGGCATTGTTGCGAGCTCTAACCTGAGTTTTTGGAAGAGACCAGGAGATTGTTACATGAAATTTAGAATAAAATTTCTGTTAAAATGATTTAATGAAAAATTGGTCTAATTTAGAGACCTTTTTAATGACCATATAGGAGCTTTGGAGGAAGGTGAAAAGAAGATTTATAGCTAATATTTTCTCTGTTTGGGAGCATTATAATGTGGTAGAAGTACAAGAGAGCTTAGGGTGTTGTTAGCAATCTAATGAATTTGTATCTTCTTTATGGGTGAGGTCTTGAAAGTGAAGTGACATTTGTTAACAATTGAAAACCCGAAAATTTGTCCGACACAGTTTGGTTTTATGGAAATGGTTGAAAAGAATTAAGAAAGAAAAGAAGAAATAAGCAACATCTCCCAGTTTGTATCACAAAAGTGGAGATGGAAAACTTTTGATGGGACACAAATATTTACACTTTTTTCCGACTTCTTGCATTGTCAATCTAATCTGCACCGCTAACCATTTTTAGATGCATCTGCACACTTAATTACTTTAGAGCGGCAAAATCATACATTTAATTAGTTGTCATGCGTGCAAGAAAAGTGGACCCTTTAATTTGCTTTTGTCATTTTGAATGATCTCCATAATCATAATTTGATGATAATTTTTTAATTCATTCTTTGATACTTTTAGGCCTCTAGTACATTTTCTTTTATGTCCTCTGCTTCTAGAGATACATATTAAGAAACACATTTTTTTTTGTCAAATTTGGTTTTTTTCGGAGTTACATCTACGGAATAGTTTTAAACTGATAAACGTTGAGAAAAACTTCAAAATATTTCAGTTCAGGAAAACTTCCATAAATGCACCTCCGGAACGTTTAAGCACCCGATTAATCCGTAGATACAGTTCCGAAAGTTTTTGCTATATTTGAAACCTGCTTGATCATTTTTCCCATTGTTGTATTTTCTTCTTCCACACTCACCTTCACCAACCTAAAACACTCTATATTCTCAATATCATTTTTCACTCCAAAACTCTAACTTTTTCGTGCAACAAATCAAAAGGAGTAAGAGAAGATCAAATTTAAGGTAAAGATTGCACTTTGTCCACTACATTGCTCACATTAATTATCAAACTTTTGGATGTACATCTCTGGAACGTGTCTGTGACCTGTTTTTTTACAGCAGATTTGTAATTTTTGTCTATTTTTTTAATTGTTTACAAATACATCGACCAGTTCGTCAATGTTGAAAGGGATGGTAATTGAGGTTAGCGAGCCGTTTCGACTTTGCTTGGTAAAGGAGAAGATAGTCATACGTTTGTCCGTCATCAACTAATTCAAGAGTTGAAGACGCATAAAGAATCGTACACGCGGTTGTATGGAAAGAAAGAAAAATTCGATGCAGTTTATGATTCTCTTGTTCCTTGCTTGAGTGGTCTGACAGTGGTGTCGAAATGGATGACATACCTTGATATGATACATCTTATTACATGTGCATATAATACGGTGTGCATTGACTTGACGCGATACGGGTTTTCAAAAATCTTTTTTCCACTCTGCACTGCACCACCTTAAAATTCAAATGATCGCATCATGTATATTGGATGTTTTACAAAATCAAGACATTTTGTACAAGTTTACTTGAAACCGGGATGCTTCATACCACCTACATCACCGGAATGGGCAACTCATTCAACCGCAAATGTCGAGACGTGGCCGAATTATTTTGTTAAAAGGATGCACGAATTCGAAAGATTGAACAACATTGAAAAGGAATCGAATGCGGAAAAGTCCAAAGGGGTACCACTAATAGATTTAGCTGGCTTTGATTCGTTTTGAATTCAGGGAAAATTCTGGAGAAAAGTTTGACAGAAAATGGTTGGTCCATATTCACCTAGGTTTTTTTCATAAATTTGAGGTTTCATTTGTTATCTTTCACTCAAATACAAAAATGTCTCAATTGTGTGAAATCAAGAACCGTTGGTATGACGCAAATGTCTCTTTTTCCAACGGCAAAACACTCGGGAGGACATTCAAGCTCATGAATCTCACCCCTCACCGATATCATAGACGAGATCCAATATCGCCTAACTTACAATGATAAACGAAAGGTTGTGAAGCTTGAGTATTGTTCACCTCCAGTTGACAACGAAGGGAACGTTGTTTACAACAAGTTTGAGCTCAAGAATCAAGACGATGTTAGAACGATGTTGCGAATGTATTTAAGCTTCGAAGAGAAAATTCCACTCTAGTTGGAGGCGACGGTCTGAAGAATGGTCGATGACATCTTACAGATGTGCAAGCGTCCATCGGGTTATTAAAATGTAGTATTTAAATTTCTGTCGAAATAATCAATGTAACGTCAATTTTATTTTATAAATGTTGATTTTATCGTTGCAATGTTGATTTCTGATATTCTGTTTCTAGTTTTCTTCCGTAATACGCATACATAAATATTATGTAGATGCATCTACGAAATTAATTAAAAAAAGCTGAAAAAAGGTGCGTCCGGAGATACATCTTCGAAATCAGAGGGTATTTTAGGCAGAGCGCATGGTGCCTAAGAAAGTCAAGGGGTGGGTTAAGAAATTCTCTAATTTAATTTGAACATCACCTAACATAACAAAGATTTACTATAGGGAGACCCTTATTGCTATTAGTATGATTCATTTGCAACACTAATCATTTTAATTATGGTCAAAATGAATAATAATTGAAAAAACACACTGATTTATAGGCTTTGCTACAAATGTATTAATGTTTATTGTTAGTTTGTTACATTTGTAACTATTGAAAGAGAAAAAAAATGAAAGAATATGAGATATGTGGTGAAATTGCGTGTCAAGGTAATCCTAAGGGTTGAAGGGCTTTCACCCTCTTGAGTAAGCTTTTCGGTTTGATGATCATTGGTTGTCTCATCTTGACTTTTTTTTATATGATCCTTAATTTTTGGTTGACCTCTTCTAATGAGGGTTGGAGGGCTTCCGCCCTCTTGGGTAAGCTTCAATATCTTAAGGCCATTATTAAAACTTGGAACAAAAGAGTTTTGGTGATATGGATTCTCAAATTGAATTTTTCAAGGATGTAATGAGTAATATGGATCTATTGGTTAATATTTTGGATGAAGTATAGTCCAGATCTAAAGTCATTGCTGATCGTTAGTATTTGCTTAGGGTGAAAGATTTTCGATTGACTCAAAGAGCTAAGGCTAGATGGATGAAGGAGGACAATGCTAGTTCATGTTTCTTTCACACCTCTATTAAGTGCAGGAATAGAAGGAACTTATCTTAGCTATTAAGAAAGAAGAGGATTGGATTGAATGAGTGATTGAGACTCGTAGTGAGGTTTTTTTCCCTTCTTATTTCTATGATAGATTTGAAGATTCGAATGTGACTTGTCAAAGACCTGATGGGGGTGACCTTTAGGTTTATCTTTATTTAGGATAATTTATTCATGGCATCTTCTTTCAATCTTGAGGAGATAAATGTGGTTGTATCTTAGTGTGATAAGAACAAGAGTCAGGGGTCTGTTGGTTTTAACTTTTATTTTTTCAAAAGGTTTTGGAATCTTCAGAGGACATACATGGGGATTATGTTTGATGAGTTTCATCGGTTCACATCTCTTCCCCATAGTTTTTCCTCCTCTTCGTGGCTATTATTCCTAAGTTTTAAAACCATATTTCTTTATGTAATTTCAAGCCTTTATCTCTAGTAGGATCCCTTTTATAAGTTGGTTGCTAAAGTTATGTCTCAGAGGTTGGGATTGGTAATGAACAAGTTAATTAGTCCTAACTAACCAACCTTCCTTAAAGGAAGAATGTTGGTTGATGGGGTTGTGGATGTCAATGAGTTGATTGATCTGGCTAACAGATTCAAGAAGGAATATTTTATTTTTAAAGTAGATTTTGAGAAAGCGTATGATTTAGTAAGTTGAAGCTTTATGAATTATACACTTATGTGATTCAGGTATAACGATAAATGGAGATTATGGATTAAAACTTGTATCTTCTCTGGTAATCTGGCTATGTTGGTTAATGACTTCTCAACTCCTAAAATCAAGATTTAGATAAGGTTGAAGCAGGGATACCCCTTAGCTCATTTCCTCTTCCTTCTTGTGGCTGAAGGCCTTAGTGGGTTGATTCATCGGGCTTCAGATCTTAGTGTCTTTTCT